TTTTTTTTTTCATTTTTTTCTCTTCTTTCTCCTTCTTCTCTTTTTTTTGTTCGGACACAAGCCAGAAAATTATTCTTATGATAGACAAATTTTAAAAGACAATATTTTATCTTAATTTGGTGCCGTTAATATCTTATGCTATCAATCAACATTATAGGGTGTCAATTGTTTGGACACGTTGGAAAAAGAGCCCGGTAAAAATCAGGCAATGGAGCCCGGTGTGCTTAATTGGCTAAAAATATAAGGCAAAGGAGCCCGGAATTTTTTAACAGTTAAAAACAGGCAAAAGAGCCCGGTAAAAAAGTAATTAAGTAGAGAACAGGCAATAGAGCCCGGAATATTTTTATTAGTCCTGAGAGAGACAACAGATCTGCAAGTAAAACATTGTATAATAAGTTAGTTAACTTCAGACAGCCAAATTTAATAGAAGAAGTAAAATTACATAAATTAACAAAAAAAATCATAATACAGTATTAATGCTCACATGAGTAGTACTTTAATGAAAATCAGTCTTTTGACAAAGCATATTTTGCTTTCTTTATTCTACCTTTATTTCTCCTTTTCCCAATGAGCAGCGGGATTTTTCGAACACCCCACATCATCATAAGACCAGTTGTGTGGACACAGTAATATTCTTTTAGGCCACATTTACAGGAACAAAAAAATGGGTGGCAACGTTTGTGAGTAATCTAAAATTCGAGCCGAGTTAAGCCAATCTTTAAATTGGTCATATGTTTGCCAATCCATAGAATAAAGGAGGCTCACCCATGTATTTGTATTCATTTTTGCATTTGTTGGCGGTACAACAAATGTAAATGCATTCAACTGTAGTATTTGTGATTTATCAACTTTTTGTAACCATTCATAAGCTTTTGAATCAATTTTATCATCAAGAGTGATATGTGTTTGAAATGGATGCTCCAGAACAGAAATTGACCAGTCTCGTAGCATCCGTTCAGCAGTTGACATTAAGACACCCAAAGGTAACTTATTTCTCATCGTGTACTGTTGTTTAATACGTCCATTAAGACTTTCGAATCCATTGTTCGTTGAGGGTGTCATTCGTGCAGCTCCTTCAAACCAAAAGCATAGATCTGATAGTCGGACTGGGTGATCAGCCATGACTGAAACTGGTGCATCCCTAAACATGATGTTTATCTTTATCTTTTCGTTTTCCTTCTACTGATCTACTTTCCTCTGTTTACTAGATTTATATGTATATGTAAATGTACATAGAAACATTCCTGGCTCTTTTGCCTGTTCTCTACTTAATTACTTTTTTTACCGGGCTCTTTTGCCTGTTTTTAACTGTTAAAAAGATTCCGGGCTCCTTTGTCTTATATTTTTAGCCAATTAAGCACACCGGGCTCCATTGCCTGATTTTGCCGGGCTCTTTTCCCATTTTTTCCCAATTGTTTGATGATTATCTCTTGATGTTCTATATTAAGAATGAAATGTAACGATCATCTGTAAACATACTGCTAAGATAAAACAATCTATATTTATCCAGTATTATTATTATCTTTAAGAGTGTCGGTGTGGATGTGGGTGTGGGTATGGGGTGTGGGTGGGTGTGGGTGTGGATGTCTTTTAGTTCACACCGACAGTCACAACCACAACCACACCCACACCTCCTGTGAATTTTAATCGATTCCTAATCGATTCAAAATCGATTATAACCATACACCTTTAATCGATTATTAATCGATTAGGAATCGATTATTAATCGATTAGGAATCGATTAAAATCAGTCTTAATCAATTTTAATCGATTAATATAGTAGAATAACTGTTTCCACGATTATAATTGATTATGACTAATTATAATCGATTTTTAATCAAATTGTAATCGATTTTAATCTGATTTTT